CACGGGGGGGCGGGGGAGAAGGGAAGCCAGGGGTCTGGCGCACCCCCTTGGCGGCCGGGGCCCCCGCCGGATTTCGGAGAGCGGGAAGGGGCGGGAGCGGGCTTCGAGACGTGGAGGGAGTGAGGGCTCTTTGTTGCTTCCCCACCCCGCCCCCTCCGGCCCCTGGGGATTGGGGCTGCCCTTCCCCCGCCCGCCTCCGGACGGGGTTCCGCGCCGGGGGTTGTCCTTGGAGGTCGGCCCCCTCCTTGCTAGGAGCCCTGCTCCAGCCGCGCGCGGGGACGGCCTGGGCCCTGAGGTGGGGGGATCTCCCGGGCCTCCTGCAGTCGGAGTGTGGAGGCTGAGGGCGGAGACCTCCGGGACGCGGGACTCGCGGGCACGGGCGTGAGGCACCGGGATGTGTGGCCGGGCGCCCTGGCACCGTAGTCGTCCGCAGCTCGCCCTGTTGCTATCTGAGCATCCTGGCCAGCTGCGCGGCATGTACCCTAGATTCCACCCACCCCCCATGTAGGGGGGCCGTTATATACAAAATATGGACATCATTGTTCGCTTCGCTCCTTTTCTTCGCGAGGAATCCCAGCGTGCTGTACCAATTTAATGAGCTGTTATGCACACTATGTATAGGGATGACTTCATCCCTCAACGAACGCAGCCAACTCTCGGGGAAACGCAGTCGCCGGGCGACGCGCGCGGAACCGTGTGCAGCCGCGAGCCAGTGAAATCACTTGGCATCGTCATTAGCGAAAAGGGAATTCCGGGTCTGGTGGGGGGCAATGTGAACGAATGCTATTTTTTAATATTCGGTCATTTACGTGGCCTTTAAATCACCTTTCAAAGGTAGATGAAGACCGACATAACAAAGTCATTTAAAGTTAATAGATCTAGGGACATTTCGGCAGCTAAATTTGTAGGTGTGGGGATTTTTCATTATTCAACAGTAAATTCAATAGTCAAATCAAAATTTCAGCCGAACAAATTGCAGCCTTTGTAGTCCCGAGGAGGAGGTTTTTTCTATGTGCAAGATGACTAGAATAAACAAGGTCTGTTACTACTGGGTTCCTATTACTGAAAGATCTCATCCAAAATGGAGGACATACCATGACAACAAGAATCCATTCAAAAGTTTTGGTATTTTAAGATGGAAGTACAATTCAAATTTACAGTTATAAAGACTGAGATCATTTACACTTCCAAAGAAAAAGCAAACTCCTTATAGTCATCATCCCTTCAAATGCCTGTCTTGTCTGCAACATACTTGTGAGGTCCAGTTTTAACTATAAAAGGCTTCTTGGTTTCAGAGCTGTGTGCCGAGTTAATTTTCCTTTTCAGACCTGCAGCCTCAGCTCAACAGCCTTATAGAAGCAGTGACCTGGAGCTATGGCACAGGACCAGGGTGGCCTCAGATAGTAAAAAGCACAGTGCCTCTGCCTTATACATGGTGTACTTTAAGAACACTAATTTCCACCCACAGATCTAATTACAGTTTACCATCACAGAGAGTATTTTATTCAAGGATCTCCAAGCCCTGGAGAGAAAACACTCTTGCCAGTCAAATGTCCTTGTTGCCATATTACAAGTACAGATGGAAATATAGAGCTCATGTGTTAGTGAATAGACATGATTAAAAACCATAACTACTCATTTTGAGGTGCATTGTCTTAACATAGATTACTCACTGTAGGTTAAAACACATGCACCTCAAATAATACTCTCCAAAATTAACCAAAGAACATTTGCTGCGGAGGCTTTTTTCTCAGATTATTAAGACATATTGGATCATCTTGGGCAAGTATTCATAAGACATATTCAACCACAAAAAAGTCATACCAATTTGCCTTAGTCCATTCATAGCAATTCAATAAATTCAGCAGAGTTTATGTTTCAGGGAAAACTCTTACAAGGGGCCAAGAGGGGTGGAGATTTTGCTGTAATGATTCAAACTATCTCCTGCCAGAGACAAGAAGCAAGGATAAAAATTCCTTACAGATGACTCCATAAGCTACTTCTCATTTGTGAAAGTTAATCCATGCTGTGCTAAATAAGTGATATATCACATCATCTTTAGCCTAACAGCAAATGTTCCAATGATATGGGCACCAAATTAAGCAATCCAAGTGGAAAATGCTGTTCTTGTTTTCTATGTTTATTTAAAATGTACCAGCCAAGAATTTTGGCTGTCTACAACCATTTCCATCCTTATGGAAGGCAGCCTGCCAGCTCACAAGTTGGTCATACCATTGCCTTTGGATTTAGATATTGTAATGGGTGGCCTGACCTCTAAAGGTTATCCTGAAGAAGGGCAATTTGTTGGCTGAAACAAAATGTTATTGTTTCTTGTGCATATTTGGTTTAACAATCAGAGAGGGCAAAAGAAAAACTTGAGCTAGAAAATCAGAGACTAATAGTCACAAAGGAAACTCTGTGGACTGTGTTACCATGTAGAATAAAAGTGTTTTTAGGCATGGAGGGAATCTTACCAATCAAGTCCAACCCACTCATTTTTGCAAAAGACCCCTGGTCATGCTGTCTTATTATGACAGAAATGGAACTTAAGCCCAAAATTCCCAGTTCTTACTCCATTCTTCCTTTCACCACATCATACTTCTTTCTTATGACAGAAGAGTGAGGTTAAGGCAGTAAGCCAATTTTAAAAATTAGTTGAAATTATATTGTCTTGACTGAATAGTGAAATTACTTGAATTCTTCTTTCATAAGGGTTGCCCAGAGCAAAGTCCAAATGCCTCTGGTCCATTGGTTATTGACACTCAGATGTTTGCAAGGTAAATAAATGAATGAGTGAATGACTTAACTCTAAGTAAGAAATGATTCATCAAAGCCTACATACTCTTCTTAACACCAAGTACATGTGGACTTCAACTTTCCTTGACTGAACTATACTCCAGCTTAATCCCACAGTATCCAAGCATAGACATCAGTAGGTCTACAAATGTCTATTTGCAGTGTCATCCTGGCTTAAGATGAAATAAAATATGCTTCTGTTGAAGATGGATTTGCTGCAGGAGTATTGTCAATCTGGCTCTGAGGAGTCTATCAGAACTTGCCTTGTTTAAATCCTTCCGATAGCATCAGTGTAGGCTTGTCCTCCATTTATGGGCATAAGGAGGATGCATGACTAATGCTACTCAGCAGTTAGGAAATCA